GGGGCTAAAAAACCCCAGAAAATTCTTTACCTTAATAATAATTTTTGTATTTTATTTAAAGAATATTGTTACCTATTCCATGTTCCAGAAGTTTGTTTTAACCTTGTGTACAAGTCTTTCTATGAACATGTGCTTTCATTTCTGGAATTATTTTTATTTTTCTGAAATTACTTTCATTCCTGGAATTATTTTTGTATTTCATGTATAGTAGAGTACTCTTTTCATTTTTTCCTATGTGGAATACTTAGTTGTCCCAACATAATTTTTTTTTTTCCTTTTGAGACAGAGTTTCACTATGTAGTTCAGGCTGGCCTTGAGCTTACTTTGTAGCCCAGGTGGGCCTCAAACTCACAGTGATCTTCCTGCCTCAGCCTCCTGAGTGCTGTGATTACAGGTGTGCGCCACCATGCCCTGGCCCAACATAATGTATTATAAAAGCTGTCATTCTGTGTACTTCTTTACTCTGTGTATGCCTGTGTGTTTGGGTATTTGCATCTTCTTCAGGCACTTCTTGGCTATTTCCTTTACTTTTTATTTTTTAAAAGTTGAGTACATAAGTTTGCATATCACTAGGGGTAAATATTTAAAGTATACAATTTAATGAGTTTTGACATATGCACACACATATAAGACCATCATCATAATCAAGATGGTGAACATATATGTCACTCCAGAAATTTCTTTATACCTCTTTGTAATCCTGTCCTTTTCCCTTTCATGCCTCAGGAACACTGGTCTGCTTTCTGTCACTATAGATTGTTTTGCATTTTATAGGATCTTGTATAAGTGTGCATTCTTACAAAATTCTACCTGGCTTCATCACTCAGTATAATAATTTTGAGATGCATCATTTCTTTTTTGTGTGTCAGTACTTAATTCCTTTTTATTGCTGAATAGTGTTCCATCAGATGGTTGAACCACAATTTGTTTATTTCCCTGTGATGGACATTTGGATAGTTTCCACTTTTGGGTTATTAAAACTGCAATGAAGATTTGTGTGCAAGTCTTTCTATGAACAAGTGCTTTCATTTCTATTGGATAAATACCTAGGCTCAAACATATGGCTGGGACATATGGTAAGCAGATGTTTTAACCTTTCAAATATCTGCCAGTTTTTAAGTATTTGTACCATCTTTTATGTCCATCAACAGTTTATGAGGGTTCCAGTTTCTATACATCCTCATTAAAACTTGATAATTTTTTTATTATAACCATCCTTGTGGGTGGGAGGTGATGTATTTTGGTGCTAATATCATGCTGTTTTGATTATTGTTGTGGTTTGTATGTAGATGTCCCCTCAAAGCCTCATGTGCTTATAGGTGGGGCTTTTTGGAGGTGACTGGATCTAGGGTGTGTGTATATGCACTAAAGGTGTGTAGTAACTGAAGTAGTACACTGATTGGTTTATCATAGTTCTGGGTGAGGATAGTAGGAGACACCCCCCCCCCCGCCCCCGCCAGTTAATCCAGTAGGCTTCCAGTCTGGATGGGATAAAAGTCTAGAAAGCTTGCTGCTTGTTGCTTCCTGCGTGCCATGCTATGGACTGTCTCTCCTCTGCCATGCCCCTTTGCCATGCTGCCCTCGAGCCGGCTGACTGTGGACTGGAACCTGTACAGACAGTGAGCTAAAATAAATCTTTCTTCCTTTCACTTGTGGGTGTTGGGAATTTTGTCCCAGCAACAAGACAGGTAACTAAGACAATTACTTTTAATAAGTAATGGAATTAGCTTGTAAGTCTTGAATCTTTTACTTTTTCAAAGCTGTTTTGTTTAAGTACTTAGCATTTCCATATGAATTTTAAAATCACCTTGTTGCCAGTTTCTACCCAAAGACTGTTAAGATTTTAAATGGGATTGCATAAATCTATAAACATTGACATAGCCTTCTGTTTAGATTTTCCTTAATTTCTCCAGCAGTGCTTTATATGTTATGTACATCTTATTGATAGATCAGTATTATATCAGTACAGGTAAGATCAGTATAAAACCCTAAATACTCCTTAGTATTTCATATTTATGATGCTGCTATAAATGCCATTACTTTCAACTTTTCATTCACCCATTATTTATTGCTTGGGTAAAAAAATGCTGTTGAGCTAGATGTGGTGCCACATGCCTGTAATCCCAGCACTAGGGGAGGCTGAGGCAGGAGGATTGCTGTGAGTTTAAGGCCAGCCTGGGCTACATAGACCCTATCTCAGAAAAAATGCAATTGATTTGCATATGTTGGTGTTGTATAGTACAATCTTGCTAAAGTCATTTATTTGGATTGTAGATTTTGGGGAGTCCTCAAGACTACGTTTGTGTTCACTAATTCTCTGGGAGGATTCACAGAACTCAGAGCTGGGGTTACAATTTTACAGTGAAAGGGTACTGATAAAAACTAACCAAGGGAAGCAGCACGTGAGGCAGTCCCGGACAATTCCATACATGGAGTTTTCAGCTGTCTTTTGTTTAAAATGGGGTTCTTTAGCCAGCAGATAGATAGATCTTATGTTTTTAAATTCCAATTGACAGTCTCTTCATTTTATTTAAATTTATTTATTTATTTATTTATTTATTTATTTATTTAGTCTTTTTGAGACAGGGTCTTGCTATGCAATTCAGGCTGGCCTTGAGCTCATTTTGTAGCCCAGGCTGGCAGCAGTCCTCCTGCCTCAGCCTCCCAAGTGCTGGGATTACAGGCATGCACCACCATGCCTGGCCTAGTCTCTTCATTTTAATTGGATGCTTACACTGTTTACATTTAAGCTTTTAAAAAATTTAATTGACAAGTAAAAATTGTGTATGTTCGTGGTATACAACATGTTTCTAGGTATGTATATTTTGTGGAATGACTAAATCAAACTATGTAATATATGCATTACGTCACATACTTTTTTGTTTCTTTCAGAAACGGTCTCGTTATGTAGTTCAGGCTAGTCTTGGACTCTGTTGCCTAGGGTGGCCTTGTACGCGTGTCAGTCCTCTTG